TAAAATACTTCTATAAAAGTATAAAACTAATAAGTAAAAATAGTCGATGTACATAAAACTAATAAGTATTCCCAATTTTAAAATTGAATTGAGATTTTGAATCCATTCTTACATGCCTAAACAGTAAATACATCGTTCTCTATTCTTTAATTGCATTATAAATAAATCATTTTCTAATCTTTAATTCTATCTTTAATCATTATAAATTTATAATAATAAATAAAAACTATTTTACTATCTACTGAAAAAATTCAATTAATAATCAAATGAGTTTTTGCCATTTTTGGTCCCTCGACTATTATGTCAATGACGCTTTTGATACTCGACTTCTATTTGTTCCATTTTTAGTCCTTGACTATTGTGCTAGAGACACTTTTAGTCCCCGACTTCAAGATTTCCCACATTTAGTCCCTGAGTATTGTCAAATTGACACTTTTAGTCCTCCCATTATGATTTTGACACAATAACTGGAGGACTAAAAAAGTCACTATTATAATAGTTGAAGGACCAAAAGTGTCACTTTTATGAAAGTTGAAGGACTAAATATGTAAATTTTCATAGACGGGTACCAAAAGTGTCTCTAGCGCAATAGTCAAGGACTAAAAATGGAAAAAATAAAAGTTGAGTACCAAAAATGTCAATGACATAATAGTCGGAGGACTAAAAGTGGAAAAAACTCATAATCAAATAGAATTACAAAGTTAGTAGGCTTGGGCTGATCTAGACATTAGTTTTGCGGTGGGCTGGAAATTAAACATATACCTATAATAATAAAAATAAATTGGGCTGGGCTGGGCTGGAGCCCACCCCTGCCCCAACATAGATCCGTCCATGTATGAGCTATTAAATTGCAGCGGTTAGTGGGAAGGTTATCGATGTCATTTGACATTTTAAAAACGAAACTGCAACATTGATATGGAAAGAACACGTAAACAAATCACCAGTAATATTTACCACTAATTAATGTAACCCACTACTGACATCCAATCAATTAAAGTAACCCACTACTAATATTTACACCTCCATTTTTAGCAAATTTAAAAAGGTTCGTGTGATTAGTAACAATTGGAGGAGCAAGTTGAATATCTATATACATATTAAGGTGAGATTTTGTCCAACAAAGAAGGTTGCATTATCAATTTAAATAATGGCTTCACTACAAGAACATGTGATATAATCACTACAAGAACATGTGATTTACGAATTCAGATGCTCCATAATTAGCTTTGAAATTTTCGAAACTTATAGAAGGTAAGTTGGAGAGCTATCGGAATGAAGAAGTAAACACTTGTAAAAGTCTTTGCATATTAAGGTTACGGTGCATATTTTGGTTATGAGATGTGTATATTAAGGTTAGGGGGTGTGCATATTAAGGTGACGGGATATGCATTTCATATTTATAATGTCTCCATAACTTATATTAGAACTACATAGTGCTAAAATACACCGACGTTGCATTTTAGTGTTTCATATGTTGCATCTTATCACTATAGCATGTGCATTTTATGAGTTTTTATATTACATTTTAGTATGATGATATGTGCACTTTGGAAGTTCATACTACATCTTTCCGTTATGGCATCTGCATTTTAATACTTTATATGTTGCACACATTCTATCATTACGTGCATTTTACAAGTTCATGTATTGCATTTTAGTAGTACAACTTCATGTATATCGTAGAAGACAATTTGCTGCATCTTATCATTATAACGTTTGCATTGTATACTCAATTGACATGCATATGAATTTCATGGTGTCACATTATGCATAATATTAGAGAAACATGTTTTAAATCGTATATTAGTAGAAAGACATAATATAAGAGATACATGTCACATTATATATTTATAACATCTTCATAACTTATATTAGAACTATATAGTCATAAATATGTCAATACTGCATTATAGTAGTTCATATCTTGCATTTTATCATTATAACATGTGCATTTTAAAAGTTTGTGTATTGCACTCTATTCGAAAGTTATGTGGACTTTAAAAGTTCATACTACATCTTAACTCTGTGACATCTGTATTTTATGAGCTCATATGCATGTTGCATTTTATTATCATTGTGACTTTTGCATTTAGAAGTTGTATATTGACTTTAGTCAGATGAGCTCTCATTTTCAATTTAGAAGTTACTGCATCTTATCGCTTTAGCATCTGCATTGTATAGTCAATTGACATGCATACTAAATTCATAGGTTACATAATGCATAATATATGATCAACGTAAGAACACCATAACTATTTCAAGCAGATTAAGCTAGTAAAACTTAAACATTTTTTATTGTTATAAATACGAATTTGATGAATTTCATCAAGTCGAAAATAAAAAACTTTAAAATATCATTGATCTCATAAGAAACAAAAACAAAGATTTTCTAAAATGCAAAATATCATGGGGATGAAGAAAGAGTAGGAGTTAGAGATAAATTAAAAGAGAATTCATGAAACTAGGGTTTAATATCAGAATCCATGGCCTACCCTGTTAACAAAAACAAAGATTTTCTAAAATGCAAAATTTCATGGGGGGGGGGGGCAAGAGGGAGTAGGAGATGAAGAAGAAACAAAATTCTGAGATGGGAATGAACTAAAACTTGATTACCGAAGAAAGAAGAAAGGAAAATAATATGTAATGAAGAAGCAGCTACAGAAAATAATATGTAATGAAGAAGCAGCTACAGAAAGAGAACGTAAGAAACAGTTACGCAAAAAGACCGTGATTGTTTTCCAAAATTAAAACAAACTAAAAAAGACTTAAAGACCCTCAAATTATTAAGTTAAAGAGCCGAGTCAGATTATGTTAAACAGCCGCATCACGTAAGATCAAAATGGAATGGATGGCTAGGATTAGGTTTGTAGGTTAGCATATTAAGATGGGTTTGCATTTGAACTCTACTCTATATATATATATGGAAAAAGGGCCAAATAGGCCCTCCTACTATCTTGAAACCATCACATAAACCCCTTTACTAAAAAAAGGGTCACATTCACATGTTTACAATCTATAAAGAATCACATGGACCCAGATGACCGAAATATGACCCTTGACTACCGGTGGGAGCTTATCTGGACCGGTAAACTTGCCAACTGTGGTTTTTTTTCCAAGTCAGCCCCCGTGGATTCTATACAGAAGGCCAGCCATCCTTCTCAATTAACCATTTCGAACGAAAAATTAGGGTTCTTCATCGATCATGTCTTTCGCCTCCTTCACATCGAATTCAAAGCTTCTTCTCTTCTCAATTACGAACCACCTGTGTAATGCAATTGCGGCCTGAAATCTCCTCTGTGAGTGACTCGAGAAACTGGCCGGCAGTTCTTCGGTTGCCAACAATGGATGGTGTGTGAGTTGGGCTTCTCCTCCCTGATATCATTTTGTTTATACTCCGTATAAATTTTGTGGTGTAATTGTTTCCTTTACTTATATTATTTCTTTTTCTCAACCGGTTATGAAGTTTGACTCTTTGGCTCAATTCGAGGCTATGCCTCACGGATGAAAGCAGAAGCCTAGATCAGATTTCTTCCTTAGATGTGGTTCGGGTCTGGTTTCTTGCTCATTTGGACCGAACATCTTTGTTTAAATTGAATATGTTAAAGTATATTTTTATACTTGTTTGGAAAATTAGTTGCATTCACTAATTTAAAATTAGTTGTATTCACTAATTGAAGCATAAGATTGAAATTTTATATTCAAATTGTTAGTACAATTGAGATGTTATAATATTCAAAATGTTTTGATGTAATATCTCTTCATTTGGATGCTTTTCCTGAGTTTTTTTTTCATTATAGGATTGGATGTTTTTTCTGGGAATGTTCCTCTATGAGCAGTAAAAGCTTTTAAATGACTGCATTACACTACCAGTAGAGCGCGCACAGATAGATTTACACAATAGAAAATGATCAGTGGAATAATTTGAGTTTATATGAAGGAAGGAAACCACCTTGACTACTATATAGCGGCTTCTGTTTTAATAAAACGCTTAAAATGTCACAATTTTTATCTTGTATATCACTGGATGCAGGATAGAGGGCGTCGATTCTTTGCTTGGAAGGATGACATTGCTAGTGAAAAACACAGAAATCCAAAATTAAGGTTGGAGGAGGAATTGAAAGCACTTATTTGTGACATAAAAATTGAACTAAAACATGTTCGTGGTGAAGTGTGTGAGTTAAGAACTGAAGTGAACCATGTTCGTGCTGAAGTGTGTGATTTAAAAGTAGCAGTGCAATGTGGAATCAAGGAGAAGAAGAAACTGAAGTATAAAAGTGTAGCCTTCATAGCATTTGTAGTGTTAATGGCTATGTTGTTTTGTGTACCTGAAGGAATGTAATGATGTAGTTGTGACATTCAAATGTATTAGTATTTCTATGGTATTTGAATCATCAGAATAGTAATCTGTTTTGGTATTGAAATGCAAGAGTTGTATGGTATTCAATTAATCAATTGTATGAGTTGGTCTATGCTATTATGCTAATACAAAAGCATTATGCGTTTCGATGTTTTTAGTAATCTGTTTTTTTAGCTCCCAATACCACTTTGATACAGTTGAAATTAAACACCATACCATCTTGTTCTAACTTTCTGTGAAAATATTTGAGTGAAGGACTTTCACACCTAATAGCAATCACATTGATCATTTAGCAAAGAACCTGTAGACCATATATAACCAAAAGGAAACCTGGACACATTCTTCACAGCATAACCTGCACACCGTTTGACTTATAGGAACTGGAGGACTTTAACAGAGTGTTGATGCCTAAAGAATTTACAGCATAAAATCACTTCTAATAACAAAATGCCTCTGGAAGTGGAGTGCCGACTGGCACTAAAGTAATATGAAGGTTACTTTAGTCTGACATACTTGAGTAAAAGAATGAAAGAAACCCAAAGCAAATGGAATAAATGAACATAAACTGATAAAAATAATAAAAGATTATACAAGTCAAAATTGGCAGAAGAAGCAAATATATATCACAAACTACAGTATGACACTTGGATCTTAATGTCAAAGAAATAATTTGCATTAATGCCACTGAGATAATGGTATAGTGTTCTTTGATAACTTGCATTCCAAAAAGATGTTCCACGTTTCTGGAAAATAACAAGAATTTCAAATACTAAATAGTGAATAGTCTAAACCTGGTAAAAGGGTTAGTTGTAAGCCTCTTATCCATACCACAGACAAACACCCGTTCGGTTCTATACAAGGACACTTGCTTAAGTTTGAACACAAATGAAAAAAAATCACCAACACAAGGACTTCCCCACTAGAGGCTAGAGGTAAGAGCGGAATGAGCTCAGGCTTATCTATGCCATGCTCCACATATATATCAACTTTGCCCCAGCTCATGGCCAGTTGTATTAGGTCTAGGGTGGAAGCATCATCCCATAATGGTTTCAAGTTCTTCAAGCTCTCTTCTGGTAATTTGAAACACAAGGATTCCACTTTTTTGTAACTCTGTTCAGTTATAAACTTCACCAGGTGAGGAAATGAAATCAAATCCGTGCCAAGCCTAACAATACCAAGCTCACCATTCACATAGGAATGTTCAGGACTTTTTTTTTTAAATTTCCACCGTGATATATTCTCAATTCAGCAACATCATACATTCTGAAAATAAAAAAAGGTACATATTAAACAGACTTAGAATTTGTTATATTTAAAGAAAAAATTAAACCAGGGACAACAAATTCATACACAAAACAAAATTCCAATTGTCATACACTAAATCAATGCAAGTCAAATGGAATATTAAAATAAATTTGTATTAATTTCATGACGAAGAGGATACCCTTTACTGAAACTGAAAACACATTTTTTTTATAAATTTCCTGTGTTACATAGACACATCTCCACACAGTTCCTAAATCATCATTCTCCAAAATGAGAGCCATAAGGAGCTTATAACTCCGTGTCTAAGCAGTTCAGTTACACAAAAATGATAACTGTGCTATTTCTTTTAATTCAACTGAGGGAGTAGTTCAACAAATCCAATACTCAAGAACTCCAGAACACAGTTTCAAGAAGAAACGTTTAAAAATTGCAAAAAAAAAAAAAATAGATTGAAAGAACAAAAGTTAGAGTCGCTTACTTGCGCTTCAGATAGATAGCCGGTTTTTGCTTTGGGTGTATTTAATTTTTGAAATCCCTAGATGCCAACAACGTTCTCCATGGATGGATTCTTCGAAATGGGTAAATGATGGACGACGAATGAGAAGAATCGAAGGTGCCTTCTCCGCAACAGGGGCTGACGTGAGAAAAAAAATCAAATTTGTCAAATTTTACAGGTACACGTAGGCTGCCACCGGTAGTCAAGGGGTGGGTTTCGGTCATCTGGGTCCATATGATTCTTTATTGATTGTAAACATGTCAATCTTACCCTTTTTTAGTAGAGGGGTTTATGTGATATATATATATATCAATAGTTGACAAAGATGTTATGGCTTATAAAAGCCCTCAATGCAATCAGATGTGTACATGCCTGAATTGCGACCACCAAGCTTTGCAAATGAGGCTAAGGGTGAGAAAACCTTGAAGGCATTATTACTGCTGCTGCCATCTTCAGCTAGGTTGAATGATGTTCTTGGCATTCTGGACCTAGATGGGCTCAATTCCTCTAATTTGCTCTCGGCCTTGTTCTTGGCAATGACCAATTGGGTGATGCTGCTCCGGCAAAAGGGGCATGGGAGTATGTTGTCACTCTTCCCGGTTGGGTTAGGTTTGTTGTGGCAACATAAGGCTAGTGTACAATGTGCACAAATCTGGTGCCCACATTTTTGTATCTCTATAGTACACGCCTGCTCAAAGCATATGCAGCATAGGTCGAAATCACTCGCCTGTGGAAAATAGAACGCGCTCAACACCAAAATGGAAGGATAATGTCCTAATAATCTATATTCGGATTGTAATGTTGTAATCTTAGCTATCTATTCATGCAGCTCCTTTAAGAATGAAATAATGACAAATGCGTTTTTTGCAGTTTTGTGATTGGGTGGTATTTTCTTTCGGTGTCTATGGTGATCACATTTTTAGTCCAAAGCTTTATTTTAGTAATAGGTAAAATGTTTTGACCCTTCTATTTCAAATCTATCGCTTGAGCCCCTATCCGTAAAAAAGTATCACTTAAACACATTCACTTTGAAAACACAATTAATCCAAGTTATCCAACCATCTCACCATGCCATTTTGAAAATATTGATTCATAAACTCTATAAAAATATTAATATAGAAATTGTAAATAATATAGAAACAGAAAAAATAAAAAAGTAAAATGTCAAATAGATATAATTTAAGAACCATGAAAATAAAAAAACGAAATTCAAAGAAATCCAAAAATAAAAGAAAATGTAAAAAATATAAAATAAAAATGTAAATTTATTTTAAACATTACGATTATTCAAGTAATTCGAAAAGCACAAAATAAATGTATTTTGACATTCTTAATTTTTTACAATTTTTTTCCTCTTTCTGAATTTAAATAGTTTTCTTAGTTTTTTTTTTCAAAAAAAAACTTGCCATAATAAGTCAAAAACCGTTCAAATGACTGGATTGAGTATAGGGGCTTAAGTGCCAAATTGGAAATAGTACAAGGTTCAATTTGAACTTTTTCCCAAAATAATATTTAAGGAGAACCCCCATTAAGAATCACTATATTTTTTAAGAAAGAATTTTACCTCAAAGTCCTCATTGCCTGAATAAGAATGCAAAGGTGAATTAGTATAGCCCATCTCCTTCAATAGTTTCTTCTCTCTTTTCTTATTGGAATCAATCAAGGCCGTTTCTAATAACCATTTTGCTTCAGCATCAAGATCAGTCATGAATTTCAGGGGTGAAGGCCACGTCAATGGCTCAGGAGATGAAGGATTGAGTAAAGCAGCGCATGCTTCATGCCTGTGCTTCACTGCAATCATGTAAGGCACTTTCCTGTACAAATCAAATGACCACAAAAAATTAGTTTCGTTGCTACTGCAAACTGTGTTTAAATTACACAGGCATCCCAAAAATGGTTGCTATAGAAGCACTAAAAGGAGTTCCTGAAAAGCAATTGTAAGGTGTTAGAGACTGTATAACCAAGCCCATTCCGCCGATCCATTTTTTATATATGGGGCCGCGCGATCTTTCATGGTTGGGTTAGGTTTTGCTCTCTATAAATACACGCTCTCTCCTTGTAATTATTATTAGAAAATAATAGTAACATCCTGGCTTGGTAGCGCCCCCAGACGTAGTCATTCTTGGCGAACTGGGTCACCAAACTCTTGTGTCTTTCTTATCGTTCTTCGTATTGTGTGTGTTTAAATCGTAACAGCGATCAGGGAAACAAAAAATAGTAAGTCCTACAAATAATCACATTTCTTCTTTGAGTTCTTTCTATGTCAAGACAGATTGATCAGCCAGGTGGATCTTTCAAGAGCATTAAATTCACACAATTTGTTATGTGCATAACATCCCCTAGTAGCATTATTGCATCTACAATGGAGATATAAACGTAAAATCAAGGTCCAAATATGATTTAGTCCATGAAAATAAGGTGATTTTTTTTTACACTCCTTCAAAATTTAGTTTTTTTTTGTATTTTATCTCTGCAATTTACGCTATTTTCTCTTTAGACCTTCTGTGACTCCAACAAACTTGATTTACCAAAAAAGAACTTACTTGACTACTGGGATTTTAGTTTTACTATTTCGCATCATTTCATTATTCAGAAGTAATTAATAGTTTATTTTAGAGATCCATAAAGACGTATACTGAAAACATAAATAATTAATTTTGATTAGCCTTGAGTACACTTGAACAATAGTAAAATGTTGATGTGGAAATGTTCAGAGAGGAATTCTACTGTCAGATTATTTTTCATTTTCCCAAACGGAGGTCATTGGAATGTTGAAGAGTGACCAAAAAGAAAACAACATAAATTGTAAGGATTTATAAAAATTGGGACGTATAAGAAAAAACACTGTGTTTGCAGACATGAAAAATAGATTTAAGTTTGATGGCTATATTATTCCCTGCCAAAAATTTAGCATAACATGTAGTATCTGAAATACAAACAAAAACATGACTACGGAAACACATTGTTTAAAGATCATCAAAGCAGAGAGGTCTAACCCTGAGGCATCTCTCTGAAGTCTATCAGCACCCCAAGCAAGTAATTCTCGAACACAATCCAAGGAACCAGCCCTAGCTGCCAAATGAAGAGGTGCACATCCTGGATATCTATAATTTTATTGTGTGAAATTCACTAAATACGCAAAAGCAAATCCTATTAAGGCATAGGCATAACCATAGTTGAGAAAGTAATACCCGTATGCGCCAGTTGAAGCACACACCAGAGCTTCATTGTTTACTAAAATACGTACGCATTCTGGCCTCCGGTGTCGTGCGGCCAAATGTAGTGAGGTTGCACCACGCCCATCCCTTGTGTTTACATATCTTGCAAACCCCCTAACCACCACACAGTCAATACAAAAGATGAGTAACTTTGTTCCTAATGAGTTCAAGGGAAAGTGGGAAAGTCTCCCAACTCCCAAGTGCTCTCATTGTTGTAAATAGCGCTGGTGAGTAATCGGGGTCAAATGATATGCATTTTGATATGCATTTTGAGTACTGGAGTACATGATGCCTAATCTGGATACATCATTTGTAGTGTATATACACTCTGAGAAACAAATTAAACAACAGAAACCACAAAATACGGAAAGATGATATATGTAAGTCACCAGGACTGTGCAACATGGGTAGATTGGGCAGCAGAGAGGATAGAACTAATGCACTCAGAGTGGCCATAGTACGCAGCATGATGCAAGCACGTCCTCCCATGTAGTGAATCAAACATTAGAATCTGAACAAATGGAATGAAAGAAAATTCAATCAACAATTACATTTCAAGCATAAAAAATGTGTAATGTAACAAAAAGATTGTACAGTATCTATATACATTTACTCCATTTGTCCCACAATAGATGTCACTTGTTTCCTTTTAAGGAAATGATTCTTTAGTTGATGTTGTTTCTCTTTCCTTTAAACAAATTTCAACTCCATAGTTTTCACTGTATTAAAAAACGAACCAAGTCAAATTAGGTGTTTTTCGGGTGCCGCTATTTGCCCCGCTACTGCTCTAACTATTATCACTATTGCCATCTGTCATGCTATAGTGAACCCTATAGCAGCTAGGTGCCACTCTTCTCCACTATGCTGTTATAGAAATCTATTAACAACGCTGGTGCGCGTGCATGTATATATTATTGATTATTCCCTATGTCCTTGGTTATTTCTTTTACCAACTTTTTTTTTTTTAATTTGACTGTCCAAAAAAGGTTTGACACTCCCTATAAGTAAACAAATTTTTGTTTGGTAACATTTCTATCTCCTACCTAAAAAGCTCAAACATCATTTTGATTTTTTAATTCTACGGATCTGTCAAACATGGCAAACTATTAGAGTATTAGGGGACGGAAGGAGTGTATCTAAAATATTATAATGATGAATGAAGGTTATGCCCTTTTGGGAATGAAATTTTTGTTGGTGTAACTTTGTAGCATTATTAGGTTGTAAATTCAGTTGAAGTTGTTGTACTATTAGTATTCCCTCCGTTATATCCTTGATGCCTCTGTTAATTAAAACCCGTAGATCTAATGTCTCCGTCAATACAGATGTTCTCCGTCACCGGAACTGATGTCTCATCGGAATATGAAGCGAATCTTCTACACAAAAAATAAGAAAAGCGGGGAAAGCCCTGGAGCCCGGAAAGTCTGCAGCTACTAAACTCCCAGAAGTACCGGTCGGATTTCTTTTTGCCGGTCACAAGTGTCCGCTTCTTGTTTCTCAGATCAACCGTAGAACTAGGAATGGAAAGAGGGGAAATTAGGCTGATGGTAACTTCCACGAATCAGTACAACCGATGACGAAACCCAAGAGGTAAATTCCCTTTTCCTCTCAAACGACTACGATGTTAAGAAGCGCCCACCGGGGAAATCGCTGCCCCCACTGCTGCTGGCCTCCTCTTGGATAAGAGAAGTCCAGACCGGCCACCGCTGCAGCAGCCTCTTGGATCGGAGAAGTCCAGACCGGCCACCGCTGCTAGCCGCCTCTTGGATCAGAGAAGTCCAGACCGGCCACCGCTGCAGCCGCCTCTTGGATCGGAGAAGTCCAGACCGGCCACCGCTGCTAGCCGCCTCTTGGATCAGAGAAGTCCAGACCAGCCACACAAAATACGATGGTATTCCCCAAGGATAGTTTTTTTCTTTTCAAACTCCAAAAACCAATATTTATTTGCAAGCGGTAATTTTCTTTTCTGATGTTCATTCCGATCTACTAATAATAATTGCAACGATTTCCCTTCGTGTATTCTGCCAGATTCCATCAAATATTTCAAATTCCACGACATTAAAATAATTCTAAACAAAGTTCACAACTTTGAGCTTTCCCAGCTTCCTGACGGTGTGAAAGTCATAATGTATAGATACAAGAATTCAAGAAACTGGAAAAAAATACAAACTTTAATTCAGAGGAAGGTAAATGTATTGTACCAGTTAGGGAGATGGGTGCCTGAGAAAGGGAGATGCCGCAACATGATTTGTTTGGGTAAATGAATTGATCTTACCCTGGCAGCAACAGCATCTCTTCCTCCTCATTCACTCATTCCCTCTCTTTTTGTATAGTGATTCAAATACAAGATGGCCAACATCTTACCCCTTGCCCATCTATACAAGCTGGTTACAATCCGACGTAGTGAAAAAGCCATTTTTTGAGCTAATCAAAAACTTATTAGAGTTATTACAGTGGGTTCATGGACCTTCCAAAAATAATGATTGAATGAAATCTCTTTTTAATACTCAGAGATTAAAAACCAATAATTGCAACTATTTTCTGAAATCTCTTTTTAAGGACAATTTTTTCTCTTCAATCTCTTTTTCTCGATAATCTGCTTATTGTGGAAACCTCTTTTTTTTCTTGACCCGCTAGATTTCAAAACAAAACGTAGAAAAGAAAACACCAAAAACTTTTATATTCACAGCTTGATTATACACTTTGTGATTTATGTGTTCGTACTTTTTTATGACCAGGTACATGTTGATTCACTTGCTATAATGTAAGGTGTGGAATGTGATCAGTACTATTAATGTGTTAAATATTAGCATTAGTTTTCATTTCCTTTTTCTTATATATTTTGAGAAGGAATGCTTGGTCGGGTTTTGGTTTGGCCCCTGACCCATTCTACTTTATTTTTTGTCTCAAAATTAGCTAGAAAAATCAGTCATATTTTTTCGTTTCTTCTAAAGTTATTAGTTTTTCATAAGGAAAGCTACCTTAAGCATGCATATATTAGGTAAGTAGTTGGGTTTTCCTGTGAACTATGTTTTTGGAATGACTTACGCAATTGCATACCTTGTGAGGACCACAAGAGCCCCTCTACTCCCAAAGTTGATTCCTTTGTGCACTTCAATAAAAAAGGTATTCTATTGTTGGTTGTTACCTGATTTTCTCCCTGTATTTGGTGCTCACCTGGGTTAGCTTGAGTTTTAAATGAATTCCCTGAATATTAGTTACTAATATGTTTGGAATGACTATATGAATAATCTAGCTAATTGAACCTAAGCAAGATGTGTTTGTCATGAAGGGAGAGTATGCAAGGTATATTTCTGATTTTCTTGAATCGGGGAATCTGCCATTAGTATGGCATGCCTTTTAAAACTATGCTAAATATGCATGAGTCAAGCATTTCTATTTTTGCAACGAAAAATCTAAAAGTCTGATTGTAAGATTTTGGGTATTATATTCTTGATTTTGCTAACATATATGCTAAAGTTATGCCGTTTTAGACTAGGTCTTCTACATCAACTTTGAACAATCTATTGATCAATCTTTATATGCTTAAAAGATTGTTCTTTTTCTGCTGGAACATTATAGGGCATTTAGTGGAAGAATAGCTAAACTCAATGAATGACATGACATTCTTTAGGAGCAGCCTGTAATATTCCATTCAGGTGAGAGACCGGAAGATTATAGGAGATTTTAGCCTCTTCATCAATTCTTTAAATGCGGTAGGAAATTAAAATTAACACCAACATAAATGACAATTCTTGTATTAACTTTAGGCTCTTTTGGTTCTAATACTACAACTTTGAGAAGTAAAACTGCATTGTTTGATGTTTGAAATATACATTTTCTATGAGCCTGATGGACATATCATTCAATGGATTCCAATAAATATGTTCTTTGTTAGGGTTGTCATCCACTCATGCCCGGCCCGAGCTAAATCAGACTATAGGATGAAATCTCAAAAAACTTGGGCCTAAGGCTGGACAGAGAAATAAGATCGATGTGTTCTGTCATGAAATATTAGGTTTTGATTGATGTACTTAACGTTATGTGTTTAATAAACTGTTTATGGACATCACTTACTTTTGTCAGAGAGGAGAAATCAAAGAGGGCATGTGACAAGTTTGCAATGGAAGTGAAATTAACACATCTGGTGTAGTTGGTCTGCTATAAAATTTGTATATATTTTCTTCTTGAGTATTCATGTCTATGAAAGCCTAATTTTTTTTCCTGTGTAATAGTGACCTTTTTATTTCAAAGTGACGTGGGAGACTTCATGCTAAAGACGGTGATTATGATGTTGGAATTGCTATATTTCAGGAGGTATTAAAGAGAGGTATATTGTGTGAAGTGATTTGTTATTAAGTTTACTTGCTGAAATAAACTAGATAAATAAGTAAACCTTTTAATTGTTAGTTACGACTGGAAGGTTTGGTTTTTTTTTTGGAATGGATGCATTGAAGGGTTTAATCTATTATTTGAAAAATCAGTTATATAAATTACTTTGTACAAATGAGTAAAGAGAGATTGGAATTTTTTTTCTTGAATATTATAAATTAAATCTACACACGTATCAACATATACACTTATCCTTCAATCCCCTACCTAACCCTTTAGAACACCCATACGTCCGGTCGTATTGAATCTTTGTTATTTATGAATTAGCTGAGGAGTTTTACTATATATATATATATATTGCTTATAGAATGTGATATTCCCATAAGTGCCAGTATAATTTGGTTTAGAGTATGCCATTAGATAGTGAGTTATTTTTAATGAAAAAAATGAAAAGGGAAATCCGAGATGACCAAAAGAAAATTATTGGTAATAGGAAATTACAAACACCTTATGCATGTAGAGAGCATAATGAAAGGAGAAAAATGAAAAACAAATGAGTAGCTTTGTAATGAAAGGAAATTACAAACACGTTATGGAGGTAGCTTCATGCGAGCTTATGCTTTTTAATCACATTTGGAATATTTCAGTGGTTAATATTTGCTATATCACTTTCATTGGGCATTTTCCTAATCGCGCAACGCACGTGTAAAAACTAGATTGTAAATTCAGCTGAAGTTGTTGTACCATTTGTATTCCTCGCTCAAATCCTTGACGCTTCTGTTAATTAAAATACATACTCCGTAGCTCTCATGTCTCCGTCAATAGCGGTTGTAGTCCTTATAGCAAAAGACATACGGGCATGAAGCCGGAGTTCTGTCGTTACTTCATTTAACAGTTTACAATGAGACCTAACCATTTATTGAACATTCCATATGTACTCTTAAATAAGAAAAACAAACAGTTTTTCTTTAACTCTTTAGATTTTCTAAGAAGACTTATAATTGAATACAAATGTTTTGCACATGATTTCATTGTGAATTCAAACAACTTTCGCTCCTCAAATTATTATGCTTTAGGAAGTCTAGGTTTAGTATGGTAAACTTTATAGAAAAGAACTTTTTGAGATTGGGTTGATTCAGGCAGTACTTTCGCCCTGTACACTTGAAAGAACTTTACCTGGTAAGTCATAAAAAAGAACTTTCGGTCCTATATGATATACTATTGGAAAAGCAACACAACGTTCTCACTATTACATTTCTTAAAAGGCGCTTACCTGGTAAGTCATTGATGAATATAATGTTTAATGTCACATGCTAATCTAACCATAATCTATGTATAATCTGAACTCCGTGCACTTTATTGGGTTTGCAAGGAGAGAGTTGCATTTCATTTTTTAGCTTAAAACATTTGTTATTTTCTTTACCTCTTTTTTGTTAAGCATATATGTTAGTGAGATTACTTTTATGGAAAACACAGAGGTTGCTGCTTCTTTTGGTATAGTTTTACACTTTTACCTACTAGACTAATACTACGTATTTACTATGAACCATTATGATTGATTGATGCGCTTTCATTCCGAATTCCAAAACAAAATGAAAAGTAAATGATTGTGGCAATGCTGATTTGTTATGCCTGCTTGGGAGTTGGGACGGATCAATGTTCATTTGCTTTGGGCCCTTTGACTATTGCATTCATTTATGAAAAATGGAATATTGTCATCGATTTTACAAAAGTCTGAACTGGGCATTTTTCTAATGCAGTCAGGACACAGGCTGAGCATTTGACTGGCCGGAGGCCGCCTCTGTATTCCTGCAGTTTGATTGTCGAGCATTCAGTGATAGTGGGGAATCAAACTTTCAAATTTATAATGCACATTACATCAAAGAAGCAGCATCCCTGGATAGTTTCGCTTATAGAGGCCCTTCTTTCAGTTCTTTGGACCCTCGATTGCAAAGCCAGTTCCTACAGCACAAGCATACTAAGGGAGTTGATGAAAATCTGTTGAGCTTTCTCGTACTCCACCTCCACAAGAAGGAACAAGGTCAGTATGTCAACTTGTTGCATAGGTTGCAAGCTATGTCGGGCCATGAGAAAATCAATAAAACTGATTGAGAGTGAAGCATCTTGAGCCTTTATTTTGTTGTCCCTCTTTTTTTGCGAAAATATTATGTCCATTCTGCTCAAATTCCTAACTTGTGCCGTTTTGATGATGAGTTTCTGGAGAGTTGTAAAGGAAGAGGAATGGATCTCATTTTGGTTGAATTGGATAGGTTGTGTAAATGATAGGAAGTATTATCACTCCCTGTGTATCGCCAAAAAAATGGAATATTGTCACCCCCAAATATCTCGGTTAGAGCAGGCATATGCCAAACATGATGCCAATAATATAGAATTTATAGAATTACTACAGAATGCCTCTTAAATAAGCACAATCAATCTAAAAATTCAGGCGTTATATTGAAAAAAAATGTTCCCACTATGGGCAGTTCATGTTTATTTTTGCTATGGATGCTATTGTTACTAATAGATATATTGTTGAACATCAACACTATTGCTAGATGCGGCCCTCATAAATTATGTCAAATCTCAATAATGTATAAATAAATATTATCGCTAGGAAAATTGCATTGGGCATTTTCTTATCGCGCAACGCGCGTCATATAACTAGTACATAATAAAAGTGTACAACAGTGCATGAAGAAACAAGTGTGGGAGTGAAGGGAATCAAGGAGCATACATTAGCTCCTGCCTCGATTAGCCTCTCCAAACATGAAACTTTTCCATGGATAGAAGCTACCATCAATGGGGTCTGCATAAAGATTAAAAAGTGAAATGGAATCCAAATACCTAATGCATAATTGCACATACATTTTGAACACTAAATAAATGACATTTCAAGGTAACAGGTACATATGGAGTATATAATGAAAACAGGTAAACACGACTAGGCTAAATATACATCACCTGTTTGTGGTGATTCAAGATGTCTTGATTTAACCCCTTATCCAAAAGCATACAGAGAACCTATACCCCACAGAAGGAAAAATTCATTTCCGAACGAGACACACACTCACAAAATGAGGGTAATTGATATTCGAAAATGAAGAAAGATGCAGCAGAGTCGACCTCGGTCTGCCCATTGCCAGCGGCCACATGCAAAGCAGAGAGCTTTCCATGACCACGAGCAGCGGTAAACTTCAATAGAGCACTTGGGTCCTCAACGAGCATTGCTTCAACTGTTTCAAGCTCTCCATTTTGAACTGCAGTGAGGAACCCGTGTTCAAGGGTCTCCCCACAGCTCAATTTCTGCCCCATCTCCCGCCCTAAACTTTCGCTTACATCATTTACTTGAACTGCAGCGAAGATTCTTCACGCGCCACCGTGCAGGGCGCAAGCGGGGATGGTGATGCAGATTAAAAGGGGGATAGAGCCGTCAAAACGGGCCGAAACCCGCGGGTTGGCCCGTTTCAACCCACTTATAAGTGGGTTAGGGCTATCATTTTCAGGCCCGCTTGTTTTGCGGGCTCAGTGGGTCAACCCTAACGGGTTGCGGGTTTAGTGGGTCAACCCGTACGGGTTGCGGGCCAACCCGCGGGCTGAGGACAAATATAATTTATTCTATGTATTTTTAATTATATTATTTCTATATAAGACAATTATATCTTCTATTATACTCTCTCTTTACTTCTAGTTCTTTCCTCACTTCTAATACTAATGTATTTTGTTCATGATATCCAAATTAGACTAAATAAATGTATTTTTAATGTATTCGTTGCTATATTGTTTTATAACATAAGGACTTCTATGTTGTTTTATTCATGATATCCAAATCAGGCTAAATAAATGAGAAATTAGGTATTTGCGGTATTTCAGCTTAAGTATACCCACAATAATACATTAAAGCTTTTAAGTATTTCATCTTTTAACTTTTTAAGTATACCACTTACCCACGATGATACATTCAAACATACAACTAAAGGATATTCAAGCACTAATTTTTTCCTTTTTAATTGTGTTTGGATTTTAATTTAGATATTTAATTGCTATTACAATTGTGTTTGGATTTTAATTTAGATATTTAATTGTTTTTTTGTTTTGACATTTATGGCCCGCGGGCTGGCCCGCATAACCCGCGGGTTAGGTGGGTCGGGTTAGGGTCATAAAAATTCTGGCCCGATAGTAAGCGGGTTGGCCCGCCCCGACCCGTGAAACTCATAACCCGCCGCGGGTCGGGGCGGGTCGGGGCGGGTTGGCCCGTTTGACAGCTCTAAAGGGGGATGATGATCGGCCTGGAAGACAGTTCATTCAAGCTAATGAACAACTCAAGTGACCTCACGGTCCTCACCTCGGAGTTCGGTCCTGCCCGCCGGAGTTTGGGTAGCTAACCGCGTACATTTGGTGATTTTTGTCGGAACTTTATTATTCCATTGGTCCACGCAATAATTACTTACATTCACTGTGCAATAATATTTCCAAAAATATTGTTAAATATATAAATATTTCCAAAAATAATATTGGAGTAATCATAGTTAAAGTGTTAAACAGCACAAATGCACAATACAAAGCCAAGCCATGGGATAGAGAAGTTGAGGCATGGTATACCATCACATAAAATATCATGATTTTTTAAAATGGTATAACTTTTTTATTTGTATTCCAATTGATATAAAAATTATATCAAAATTCATAACTTTTTATTATCTTTCATGACATCAATATTGAATATATAAAAATTAAAAAATAATTTGACACTTTTTATTTGAAGTGTCAAATTATTTTTTTATTTTTATATATTCAATATTGGTGCCATGTGAAAGATAATAAAAAATATGAATTTTGATATAATTTTTATAACAATCGGAGAACAAATAAAAATGATATAGCGCTTAAAAAGTAGATATTTTAAAAGTGTCAAATTATTCTATATTTTTATATACACAATATTGATGTCATATGAAAGACAATAAAATATAATGACTTTTGAAATATTTTTATAACGATCATAGTACAATTCAAAAAGGATATAACACTTTAAAAAGTAGATATTTTTAAAATGTCAAATTATTTTTTTATTTTTATATATTCAACATTGATGTTATATGAAAGATAATAAAAAGTTATGAATTTTGATATATCTTTTATAACAATCGGCGTACAAATATAAAAGTTATAACAGTTTTAAAAAAAACATGATATTTTATTTGGTGGTGAGACCCATGACTCAACTTCTCTTCACTCTTGGCTTTGTACGTGCGTTAGTTTTTCTAGGCATATAAGCCGCCACTTCAAGTGGCGGTTCTTTAACTGTGGTTACCCCAGCAGTATTTTGAGAAATACTTTTAACTCAACATTATTTTCGGAAATATTTATTTATTTAGCGGTATTTTGAGAAAAAAACTCAATAAATAAAGCAAATGTGCTCCGTAGTCCGTAGTACTTGATCCATTTCTAGTACGGAGTAATACGGAGTAGTTCATTCGTAAAAAAAGAAAAAAAAAATCTTCTTCATCCTATAATGAAATAATCTTTTTATTCTAATTTTTTTTATCATATTCTCAATAATTTTCAAAATAATACACTACTCCGTATTATACTTACTTTTTGAATGTATCTTTCATCCCATCACATTATTACATTATCTTCTCATCATACACTCAATAATTTATATCACCTTTTACTACTCATAATCTTACTTCCAAAGTGGAAATATGTTAATGCTACCGAGAAAATAATGGACTAATACTCCAGACTACAGAATTATGAGGTGTTAGGAAAATAACATTTTGGTAATAAAAAAATTGCAGTTTGATCCTACTTGCGAGTGCCTGTAGCCTCTCAAGATTTCAGTTGCTCAATACTCCCCTCTCTTGAAAAAAATTGAAATTTCTACTTTGAAATGGAAAATTAAATGCATGAGTTATGTAAGTCGTTTTGAATTGATTAGGTTTGTTATCCGAGTCCATTATTATTGTATCCAAGTATTTCTCAAACCTGTTGCTGCTCTTGTGGGGAGGGCCAAATGCGAAGGTGGCTTGGGTTGATGTGTGTAGGCCTTGGGAGGAGGGGGGTTAGGTTTAAAAGACTGCAAAGTTTGAAATAATGCTCTACCTTCAAAGACCACTTGGAATATTCATTTGAAAAGGGGCACATTGTGGGTGAAATGGGTCCATTGTGTGTATTTGAGAGGGGTTTCAATCTGGGATCGGACACTTCAAGCTGGGGTATCCCCATTGTTCATCAGGTTGATCAAGATTAAAAATGTGTTGTGTAATGTGATGAGTGGACAAGCTGAAGTCATAAATAAAATGCTCTCATTCTGTAATCAAGGGAAGCTCAAATCTGGAATGGTTTGTGACGCATAGAGAACCAGGAGCCACTATAAAAGCCTTGGATGAAGCAAATCTGTAAAAATTATATTTCTCCCAAGTTCTCCTTTATTCTTTGGCCGGGTTTACGGAATAGGCTACCAACATGTGACAACCTATTGTATATTGAAATGGATATAAGATGCTGTTTTTGCAAAATCCAGATGTATATTAAAGGATGTTTGGCAGAAGGTGGCTTAATCTTTAAAAGTATACCTCTATATTGCTGATTACAATTGTGTATAAAACAATATGGAGGTACCCAGATTAAAAAAAAAAACAAGACTGTACGTGTGGCCCTTTGTTGTACGGTATACTCATACTCAGTGTGGAAAGCTATAAATGAGACAATTATCGCACACAAATTGGTCATGGTTGATAGTGTTTTCATGCATATGGTATACAAGATCATATTCAGAGTGTATCCTGCTAGTTTTACTGATTTTTTAAAACCTGTGGTTGCAGTGTTTGTCCAATGAAGGCTGAGTTTGTTTCATATGATAGGCTGCTCTCTTGGTTTTCTTTATGCAGGTTTCTAATCTGCACATTTGCTGCTACATAGTCGTAGGGCTTTTGCTTTGGTTTCTGATGCTATTAATCTATTAATTAAAGCATTTACTGGGGCGGGGGGGGGGGGCTTGCTATGATGTAAATTACATTTTGGTTCCTTCAATAATATCTTCCATAAAAAAAAGGTGAGTGATTCTTAGAAGCTACTAATCATTTCCATTTTTCTATAATAAAACACATAAAAGACTTGGATAAAACCTAGGAAGGATGGAAAGAATAAAGAAACTGATATTTTCAAACAAAATAAGCACTCAGGACAAATTATTTACACTGACTAAGCCTGAAATATTCAGAACCAAGGAGCTTGAGAACAAGTTTCTCCAACCTTCTTGACCCTGCAGAAGGTTTAACTGCATCAGAACTGCCAGTTGGTATACACGGATCTTTCCCAACACACCAACCACCCGCTGAAATTAGGCGGTTGTTAGATCCTCTCAAGAGTTCCTTATCGATCTTATCAAGAACGGAATCACCCACGGCAAAAGTACGAGCAAATGGAGCACCACTTTGGACCATTTCTTCAAAATGCTCCACTGTTAAATTCATGGGGTTCATCTTTGGGGGATTATCCCATTTTATGTAGTGCAAGTCATGGTTCACTGTTGTATTCTGATAGTCTTTGTGATTGCAGACAACCGTGTGGAAGTAGCCCTCAGGAGAGGAGAGGAAATTGGTATAGTACATTAGAAGGGTGCGCGGGAGATTGTCCCATCCCCAAATGCAGAATTCCACGAATGACCTGGTGAGCATAACCCATTCAGATCCTGCAATGAGTTGGTCTTTATGTGGTTAGTAACTTTATATAAATTGGTTGCTGGTTCAAAATCAATCGGTCAAGACAAAATTGTTGGTCCACTTCCTAGCCGGAGATAACATACGTAGTATCGAGTAAGGATGGCAGCGGGTAGGGTTACCTTCCCATTCAGCATTTCCCATGCAAAACCTGTTTAAAATATCTCGCCCCATCCCCATTCCCCTCCTACGTGAAATTAAAAGGCTTTAATGCATCAAACCCCCTCGTGATGTATAAATTCGGCGCATTAGCCCCTGTGATTTAAAAATGCATCAAACCCTCTTGTGTTATAATTATTCATGCACAAAAACCCCTCCAAGAACAAATTTAACATTTTTCTTTTATTTGACAATTAAATTTGTTCATAGAGGGGTTTTGGGCATGAATAACTATAGCATGGGGGGTTTGATGTAATTTTTCAATCATAGAGGACTAATGCATTGAATTTATATTTCACGAGAGGGTTTGGTGCATTAAACCCAAAATTAAAACAGTCGGATCATTTGGGCTGGACTTGTAAATGCTACCGTCTAATGAGATAATTTTTTTATTAGGGGTACCGAGGTGCCTTATTCAATCGTTGTGATACCAAAACACACCAATACAGTTGAAGTACTATTAACAGAAGTACTATTAACAGGGCCGGGTTTAGCATATTAGAGGCCCTAGGCGATTAGGCGAAAAATCTTGACATTTACAAATATTTTGAGTAAAACTTTTTCATCATACAACAATGTGCCGTTTGATAACACTGATTGGCTGAATCGATTCTACCGAAATTTATGAAGTTATGACTAAAGTGGCAGGATTGGTTTTGGTTTTTCTGTTATATGACAAAATAGCTCAAATGATCATCTACAATAACTTCAGTCAATTCATTCAGAAAAGAAAATCCAACATAATTTATTTTGATTCATATGTATCTCAACACGCGAAATCAAAAGTTACGTGTTTGATGAAAAGTTTGGTCGATAAGACTGATAAGCCGAAAAATAAGTCATCAAATGGGCTTAGTATCTACATATTTATATATATTACGGAGTAGAAAATTCACAAACAAATATGTATGTCAACATAGAAAGCTAAAATTAGTAGATACAATTATACGGAGTACATGATTAGTGACAAAATTAACTAATCAAACAAATATGAGAAAATGTGATTTAAGTAAAATGCAAAAATAAGATTTTAATTAAACACATAAAAAAATGCAAAATGTATTAATAATTACTTCTACAAAATATCTGAGGCCCTAGGCAAATGCCTTGCCTAAGTGGCCCTGTCACCGGCTCTGACTATTAATTCAATTTACCCAGAAAGTTGAAGAGCTTTAACAATCATCTTTGGGGAACACAACAAGATGGGAAGATTCAACAAGATGGGTCGAGTGTGTCCATTGCAATGACAGATACAACGGCTACATAAGCTTTTCTAAAAATGTATGTGGAATATGGGCCACCAAACTCCGATGATATATGTCATAATTTTAAATGGTATTGTCAATGAGACAACTAGATGCACTTAGAATATTGATTTGCTTTTTATAGGTTGGGCTTCTGAAATGTATCAATAACAACGTTAAAGTACCATACAAGCTATTTTTCAAAATTTCCTTAACCCAAAGAACTAGAAGACTCCAACAATAAATAAATGGGGAAGTTCAAGAAATAGGAATAATAAGTTTTGGAATTCCAAAATAGGACTGCTATGTTTTTCTTCTTGAAATAGGAGTAATATGGCAGTATTTACTGCCATCTTGTAGACATTACTGCCAAATAGTTGTAGTACTAAGCATTAAATAACGCAGTATTTACTATCATTAATGGCAATATTTTTTCAATCATAGCAGTAACGACTCCTATTTCGAGAAGAAAAACATAGCAGCCCTATTTTGGAATTCCAAAACCTATTTACTCCTATTTAGGACAATTTACCTAAATAAATCATTATGATAAACAAAAATATAAAAGTTCCACTTATATGTCAGAAGCCAAAAAATAGGCTTTACCACATTTACTTCTAAGGAGGTACTGCTTCACTGTGATTATATTTAGGGTTATTGTTTTAATCTATACACAATTTTCGCATGCAGGTTGCCAAGTAACCACCACCATGCTAAATCCCATTAGGACTTTAAATAGTAAAATAGCTGCCATTAGGGTGAGGCCATCAAACTCAACTCTGTTGCTATTCCTAATTTCAAGCTATATATTAAATATGGCGAAGCCTCTAAGGGTAAGGGTCATGCCAACAGAGTGGTCAAAAGCATTACCAAACATAAGTTTCAAGTGCAACTTAAATTTGCATTGTGCAATTCAGGACCAAAACATGAACCTCATTTGGAAATTGGAACTGTATCCAGGTTTAAGCAAATAGGAAGACAGTACCCATGAACAGCTTGAAAGCAGCAGGCATTGACCTTTTCTCCTTTGCCCAAAATACACCAGACTTCTTCGCATGATAGATGCCAGGATCTAGGATTATAGGCCTAGCCCTCTGAAACCTGTTTGCATAACAAGAATCTTAGAAATTTAGAATCACTGGATATTAACCATCATAATGAGAAACTCGTCTCACAGTGTTGGGGAATATGGAAGCATCAATGCATGGAGAAGAATGCTCACTCTTTCCAGCCAAGATTTGATGAATGCTCAAGAAAATTCAGATCCCTAGGCAAATATGAGAAAATGTGCAGGATATCTGGAACAAAGATGGCAAGCTTTTCTTCATGAATAAGATTACAATCTTAATTCACACATACAAAGCTGGTGATCAGTTTTATCATAATTGTAACAGGTATGTGGAGTACGAGAATCAAAATCAGGTTAACTCAAATGATTGGATCAAATATAGTCATGTCAATCACTACATAACAAATCCACTTGCGCTAAGTCAGCTAACTAGTGAATGAGCAATGTAACAGAATTTTCAAGAACTGTTTTTCTTTCAAGGAAATATTCAAGCATTATAAGGGCAACACAATCTCCATTCAGTAACCAGGTCTACTAAAGTTGAATCGAAATGCAATTTTAATCTCTGACCGTGTTTGGAATGTTTATTTAATCCAAAGCTTTCTATTAATGGGATTGAGACTCTTACCATAACAGCGATTCGAGTGCAGGGGGGAGCTTATAAAAAAAACAACTCACCGTCTTGAGGCATGAGAGGGTAATCAGAAGCACTAAGATTGATAAACCAATCCCAATTCTTGGCCTTCTTCAAGAGAATAGCGACAGCATGGAGTGTGGAAGCCATCATACTAGGCCCTCTGTAAGTGACTAAATCAGCTTTCCCAACAACCATCACATTCCTAAATTCCCTCGTCACAACATCGGATTTCGCGAACCTAGCCAGCTCCATCCTCTCACCATCCGAAGCCACCAAATCAAGATGCAGCAAATAGTAGTTCCTAGGATGGTACAATGCGCCAAGTAGCCGCTTCAGCCGCCCAACGTCGCCTTGCGAACCCGAAATCAAGTAAGCTAACCGGGGCAGCTCCGGGAAGGATCCCGATTTCGGTAACCCGTCGGAACTTAATACTCTTGGTTGTGAATGTTGGATGGGGGGAGGTTTGTGCCATTTCGGATGATTATAAATCAGAGTGGAAATCAGTATGATGATGAAAAGAGAAAGAGAAAGAGAAAGTATGGGTACTGACCATCTCCGGCTGTCGGTGAATCTAGCTAATTTAGCCTTTCTCATCACAGATTTGGACGATTCCAGAGTTTATGTGGCTCGTTTACTTGGGATGTAGAGAGGCGAGTGTTGATCAAATCATCAAAGTAGAAGGAAGCCGACTGGCAATGTGGGAATAAGGTTAAATAGGTGTTTGGCAACTAAATTTGGTAATAAGTAAAAAAAAAAAGTAAAGTTGAAGTTACTTTTCAAATGAAGTGAATGTAGCTGACCATTTTAGTTATTTTTATATATAATTTTTTCTATATTTTATTAATAAAATATATTTTAAAATTTTTTTTTTCTTAAATCAGCAGAATCAGCCAATGCAGCCACTTCAACCAGAACTTCATAAATTTCAACAGAATCAGCCAAAACAGCTGATTTTCGTGCTACCAAACGGGCTCAAAGTTGCATAAGAAATTATTTCCTGCATATAAAATTTTCAGTAAATTTTCAGTAATTTTTCGGCTTATCAATTTTATAAGTAACTTTTTCACCTAACAATAATTTTAAATTTTGTGCACTGAATTATAAAATAATCGAAATGAGTAAGGTTGAAATTACAGACTGAATTGGCTGAGGTTACTATAAAAGATCATTTTAGCTATTTTTCATACGATAGTATTATTTTTTCTTTATTTTAAATATAAAATTTTCATAAAGCGGAAGAATCGATCATTCAACCACTTCAGTCAATCTAAGTGCTATCAAACAGGCTCTTAATATATGAATTCAATAATCATTTGAATAAATTATAAAGAAGCCTGAAAGGAGGTTACACGGTCACACGATTTGCCATAAACAAGCCTAAAAGGAGACACATAGAGAGCGGTTTTGAAGGTTGTCTGGTATTCCACAAGGTATCATCAAGTTTTATAGATCAATCTTTTCTAGGAGAGTTGACCGTCTTCTCAAGAGTGGTTTTGATTTTCCAGTTAGATACTTCTACTTGAGCATTGATTCAAGGATAGTAGGTGGCTCAGGACTAAATATATGTGCACTCGTATTTCTTTAGGAGACTGACAAAATGGTTGTTTTTCAAATGATAATCAATGTTAGTTTTGTTACTAATGATACTCTAAGGACTCCCAAATCTTGGGAAGGTATTCTTCTTTACAAAATTCACAACCGATTTGGCAGTGTTACCTGATAGTGCTTTTGTCTCCACGCACTGACTTGGAGACGTAACCAACGCCAACAAGGATGCACTTGTTATTTTTAATTGGAACCCGCATAGCCTTCCCGACCAACTCTATCCGGCCATTTTTAATCGATTATTTGATAATTAAAAAATTCATGGGTTCAATATGTACAAACCCGATTCTAATGCTTAGAGTTGCAAAATTAAAATCTCAAACTCAACAGTAGTCGACCCGATCGAAAACTCATTTTTCTGTCAATTGCTACAATGTTTTTTTGGATAATTTCTATTTAAAACCGACGTGATTTATCTAAAACTTCATCATATTGGAATTATAAACATATTTTGACTAAGTGATTATTATATATTTATGTTTGCTTCTAAATGAACTAACTTTAGGTATAAGGTTTATATTTATAAAAGGTACTTGTATTTTTGTGTATTTGGGAAACAAGTTAACTGGGTTTAAAATTGGTTGTATTAGTTGCCTACATTAAAAATAGGGAAAACTATCAAATAAGCCTCCAACTTTAAAAAAAATCAATTAAACCCTCCAACCAAAAATTCGCTCAATTAAACCCTCAAACACATTTAAAAGTTTCAAAACCTCTACTTAGCTGATAATGAAAATAGGCTAAAGGGTCAAATAGGCCCTTGAACTGACTTAAAGTGTTCAATTAGCCCCTTATATAGGAGGTTCTATTCGGCCGTCGCCAATTGGGGCGGTTCCCGGTGAAATTTTTTGATGAAATTTTTTTGAGCAACTTCTTCATTAAGTCTAGTTTACACATAACAAATTCCAGCTAAAAATTCAACCGGGAAGGCAGTCAAATGATTTTCCAAAATGTACTGCGCTGTTTAACTTCGCAGTTACCTTCAAAAAATCATTTGACTATCTTCCCGGTTGAATCAAACCAGATTTCCGAGCTTCATTTGCCCGAATTTAAGTCGGAAACCCAAATTTCAATACCTTCATTTGCTTATTTGGTTTGTGTTGGGGAAGTTCAGGGCGATGGGCGGCGGTGAAGTTGGGTTGCAGCATCGGTTGGTGAAGATAAGAAGTTGCGGCGACATGGCGTCCGATTGGGAATTCAGGCCAGAACAAATCCAAGTTTCAATCTAGGGGAAGAAGGATGTAAAGAGAAAAGAAAGAAGGCGTAAGAAAAGTAAAAAAGTAAGCAAGAAAACAAAGAAAAGAAAAAGCTTGGCATGAAGCAAGGAAGAAGAAACGAGATGCTGAGAGGAAGAAAGTGACGGGAGAGGAGAGAGGTGGGGGGCGCGTGGAATGTGGGAGCCTGGGAGGGGAAGGAAAACAGAAAAAAAAAAGTGGGGAAAAGTAAAAACTGCTGCGTGGGCCGCCACGTGTGCACACTAACCCGTTAACATGTTCATCATGACTAGGGGTGGATTCGGGTAGGGTCGGGCCCGGGTTGGGCCTGGGCCTAGCGGGCTTTCTGGGATTTGGGGTTGGGCCCGGGACCGGCCCGGGTATCCACCGGATCCGGTCTGGGTCTGGGCCGGGTCCGGGTCGGGCCTCTTTATATTTTTTTTTTGTCGTTTCTAATTAACCCCCGACCCCCCCCCCCCCCCTCATCCCCACCCCCCAAACCAGCCCAAATGGCCCAAAATACTCAGCCCGGAACTGACCGGTCCGGTTCCATATATCCCAGACCCGTACCCGCCCCGGTTACCCCCCATAAACCGGGCCTAGACCCGGAACCGGTACCCAGTTCCCAGGCCGGGCCGTCACAGTACCGGACCGGGCCGGTTCCCGGGCCGGGTGGCCCGAACCGGGTCCAAGGCTATTCATGACCGGATAAATAGAGGTTTTGACACTTTTATATGTGTTTGAGGGTTTAATTGAGTGAAATTTTAGTTTAGGGGCTTATTTGATAGTTTTCCTTTAAAAATACAACATGAAGTGTTTTTTTTTGTAATACCCTACCCTACTCTACCCATTTATATATGGTTTATCAACTTATATTGGATATTGGACATAATTCAAGGGTACTAAAATTTATCCTTACTGATTTTTGGGTCCAAGTTCATAACGTTCCATATAGCCTGGTGAATTTAGGTACTGCAAGAAGAGTGAGAAATTTTATTGGAAAATTTATAAATTATGATGATAATCTGAAAAGGGTGAAACTTGGGACTTATATGAGATCAAGGTGTGTATGAACGTTGATAAACTTCTGAAAAAGGGTACTAATCTGAAAAAAGAAGGAAAATTTTTATGGGTGGATTTTAAGTATGAGAAATTGCCCAATTTTTGTTTTATATGTGGGTTAATAGGACATTCAGATAAGTTCTGCCCGTTAAATCATGAAGAAGATCTGATTCTGGAAAACCGTTTTGGAGTTCAACTTAGAGCAAGGATTGGGGTGAAGACCAGCCCTACAGGAGGGAACACGTGGCTGTTGGAGGGTTCATCGAGCTCTGCAGGAACCACAGGTATATGGGGGAATTCAAGTCTGATGATAAGCAGGATAGAGAGGGATAAAGAGTCTATATCAGAATCAGCGCAGAGCATCACTAAAGGCGCAGAAACAAAAGAAGAAAATTCAGGGGAACAGAAGAGAAGAAGGATATGCGAAACTCAAGGGGAAGGAAAGAATGGAGAAGATAACATGGCACTGGATGAGACAAAAAATGGGGCGGGTGCGGTCTTCGATCTTTAAGTCCGCCACAATAGCTTCTGACAGATTGGACACAGAAGATAAGGGTGCTCGTGTGGCTAAGCAGACTCGGGCAGAATTTCAAGTTTATTTGCTTTATTTTTGTCTTTAGCGACAATTACCTTTGCATTATGTTTTGTTTTACTTTTTTTTTCCTGTTTGTAAGACGATGGATTTGGATAGAAGTGATGGGAGGATTGCTGTAACCGTCTTTGGCTCATTTGTGCTCATTTATGGATCAACGAATTATATTGCTTCTATGAAGGTGATTAATTCTGAGTCTGGTTCGCGGGACGGCGTTTGTCAGGAATCTTTTTGTCGGATTACCTCCAATCTGAATGATGTGTTATCAATTTAAGCCTATTTCTGTAAAAAAAAAAAAAACTTTTATTGGATATTAGAGACTGATTAATAGGCACCTCAAATAAAACAGAGAGGCCCATAAAATATAGCCAACCCGATTTATGTGCAGCCCTCGGTTAGAATGCAATTTCGTCCTTGAAACACCAGGGCCTTTATTATAGGACGGAAAGAAAAAACGCGTCTTCTGTCCCTCTCCCTCCGACGTGAGTAGTGAGTACGTTCTCGAGAGTCTTCTTCAATCTTCACCCACAAAAAATTGGAGGAGTGCAGTGTAGTTACTATTTGGAATTGTAAACATAGGCCCCTTTGAAGGTTGAAAAATTGAAGATGGTGAGGGCGGTTGATTGTTCTGAGTGCGCGGGTTTGCGTGGAATCTTAGTCGTTGAAGCTTATCCAAAGGGGTACTCTTCCAAAATCCCATCTGATTTGGTCCTTTTCTTGGGCCTTGGATTCATAGATTGGTAATATTCGGTTTTGTTCTTTGATACGTATATTTATATCGGAGATACAAAAGTGGAAAAATCTGAGATCCAGAAATATATGTTTCTATAGGATTTTCAAGAAAGGGCCGTGGTTTCAATAGGTTCGATTCGGTACTCCCCCACCTGTTTGTTAAAGGGTGTTAGGAGATTCTTGAATTAGGGATGTATCTGCTCTTTTCCATCTTTCCGTAGTTTTGTTTTTCCCTTTTTATTAATCTGGGTAGAAATACATGTTTTTTTACCATCTTTGCTGGCCCTTGTTTTATTAGTAGCAGTTGTAGTTTAATCATCTGTAAATCTCACTCTTGTTTGAGAGGGGAAAAGAGAAGAAAATTAAAAAAAGACCCAGGCATGGTGTTATACAGCCTATTGAATCTGGATTATTTCAATTCGGGAGTAGTCGTGGCTGTGGAGGCAGATGAAGTCCGGGAAACTGCGCTTGTAAAGATTAGCCTTTAACCAGGCAGCTGATCTTCAATTACGGTGATAATAATAGCTGATGAGATGGGTGGGGATATTCTTCTCACAGCACTGTCAATGGAGAATCACTGTCACCCTTCGACCCTCTTGTCCATGGATTCCAGTGCCTCCTCTTCGCATGATGATCTAGAACTCGAAAGGAACCGCCAGGTCATCATAACCCGTCCACCCGACATCAATTTACCTCTATCATCTGAGCAGAGCCCTCCTCCGCACCCATTGTGGAACCTCGAACAACAACAATGTGAGATTCTAGACGTCGGGTTGGGAACCCAAACATATGAAACCACTGAAAGCTTCCTGAATGTGGTGCCAAAAATGGTGGTGGGTCGGAAATGCGCAAAACGAGTTGATAGCATCTGGGGCGCCTGGTTCTTCTTCAGTTTTTACTTCAGGCCGGTTCTCAGCGAGAAATCAAAAGCGAAAGTCGTGCGGGACAGTAATGGGGTTTCCGGCTTTGATAAGTCTGACCTCCAGCTGGACGTGTTCATGGTCCAGCACGACATGGAGAACATGTACATGTGGGTTTTCAAGGAAAGGCCAGAGAACGCGCTGGGCAAGATGCAACTGCGGAGCTACATGAACGGACATTCCCGCCAAGGAGAGCGTCCTTTTCCTTTCAGCGTCGACAAAGGCTTTGTGCGGTCCCATCGGATGCAGAGGAAGCATTACAGGGGACTGTCGAACCCACAGTGTGTCCACGGGGTTGAGGTCGTCCACTCGCCAAATCTCATGGCTGTCCTAGACGAAGAAGATCAGAAGAGATGGGTGGAGCTCACGGGACGGGACCTCGACTTCACCATCCCTCCTGAAGCAAGCGATTATGGTTCATGGAGAAACCTGCCAAACACTGAGTTTGAGCTTGAACGGCCCCACCAGCAGCCTCCTCCGAATACTAAGTCTAAGAAATTGTTGCAGTCACTCAGATGCTCCTCCGGTCTTAACCTGGCTACTGCTACTCAACCACCTTTGAACCACACCAATGGTGATGCCATGGATATTTCACCTGACAGCAGCAGCAAGAGGAAAAAGGACATGTTGTTACCCCAAGACGTATGTTATCTGCCCGAATCCTCTGATCAGATCATGGTGGCTGACTTGGAAGTGGGCCACCACCCGCACTGGTTGGATGAATTTAGTGGGGTTATGCGCGGCGTGTATGGGCCCGTCACGGGTGCAAAGAGCATTTATGAAGATTGCGAAGGGTATTTGGTCCTGATCAGTCTCCCGTTTGTGGATCCTCAGAAGGTGAAAGTTTCGTGGAGGAACACACCTACACACGGCATAGTCAAGGTAACTTGCACGAGTGTATCTTGCATGCCGTTCATCAAGAGGCAGAAAAGGATTTTCAAGCTCGCGGACCTGTCTGCCGAACACTGCCCTCCGGGAGAGTTTGTGAGGGAAATCCCACTTTCTACCCGAATCCCTGAAGATGCTAACATAGAAGCTTACTTTGATGCTTCGGGGACGGTGCTTGAGATTCTGGTGCCTAAGCTTCAAGAAGGATCGGAAGAACATGAAGTGCGGGTTTGCCTTCATCCCCACCTTGGTGGCAATGATCTTATTTTGAACTAGAGGGCGAAGAAGTGCATACCTTCAAGGCTTCAAGCAAAGAAATGGTGCTGGTCCCTTGATTTATTGTTGCTAAGCACCTGGTGCTATTATTGTTCTTATTATTACAATTATAGTTATAATCGCTGTTGTTATTATATTCTTATTATTATTACTTCTATTCTTATAAATAAATTAATAAAACACATGTATAAGAAGCTGTACATGCAAGCTGTGTAGTATTCCATTTTCACAATTTAGACGGTAGGCAACTCTGCCTATAACAGAGTTCTAGTTGCTGCTGAAATATGATTTGTTTTCAATTTGTAGGTGAATGTATTCTTGTCATTTCAATACGGAGCACGTGCATGGGTTTCCTTTCCTATGTCCTATTTGAAATTTTGAATAGAAAAAATGGCCAAATTATTACTTCTAAGGTTTGGTTGGACACAAATATGAGTATATGACTAATTTTTGAAAAGACAAAAAAGTGATACATGGTCCGTAACCTTGCACTGCTTCACTTATCTTCTTTGCAATTGTACGTAGCTATCAAATTGAAGGAGAAGACCTAGGCCAAACCTCTTCTCCGTTGTCGCTGTCCTGTAATTCTTCTCATTTCTTCTTTGACCGCTTTCCTGTCGTCCTCTCGATGGAGTGCTACCGGTACCTGCCATCCTCTATGGACAACGACTCCAATTTGGGGCCAGTTGTGCCACACTGCCAACCTCGATGTATCACAACTCTGATTTGGGTCGACGGTGCCGGATCCGCCGTCTCGATGTAGGAAAGGGGCCTCAGCGTAGGACATGCGGTGGGGCTGGGTATAGGGAGTGGGGTGGCCAGTGGGGGCTTGGGAGCTGGTGTGGAGGGCTAAGGCAGGTTGGTGAGGCTGGTGGGTAGTAACGAATCTGATTTGTAGGGGTGGGGTAGGGGCGGTGATGGCCAGGGAAGGGGGCGTTGCAGTCGTGGACATGAAAGGGGTGACATTTATGAAAGGAGCAGGGGAGGTGGCGGAGGCTTGGGTAGGGGAAAAGGAAGGGGATGACCGTGGTATCCCTTGGTGGGGCTGGGGTTTGGAGTGCTGGTCGTGGTTTGATGAGGTGGTTGGGGGCTGGGGAGTCAAGCCGGGTTGAGGCGGCGGTCTGCGGCGGCGGCAGCCTGTGGTGATGATCAGCGGCGGCGGTCGGTGGTGATGGTCAGCGGCGGTGGTCTGTGGTGATGGTTGGCGGCGAAACTAGGGCGGGATTTAGGGGTGGACCGGTTCCGGGCCAGGCCCGGTTCGGGCCTTGAACCGGACGGTCCTCGGTTCAAGGTAGGGGAGGCCCGGAACCGGCCCGGGTAACCCCGGGTCCGGTTCGGGCCGGGCCAGGCCCGGTTCGGTTCTATATAATTTTTTTTTTGGGTTTTCCTAATCAACCCCCTACCCTCCCCCTCAACCCCAAACCACCTCAAATGGCCCGAAATACCCAATCCAACACAAAAACTTAAAAAAAACTCAATAAATAAATAAATAAATAAATTCGGCCTGGACCGGGCCCAGACCGGCCGGGCCGGTTCACCAAAATGAAGGCCCGAGCCCGGAACCGGTAGCCACCGGGCCGGGTCGAGCCGAACCGCCCATGGGCCGGGCCGGTTCAAACAGTGACCGGGCCGGTTCCGGTTCGGGCCGCCCGGCCCGAGTCCAACCCTAGCGGGGTTTGCTGGGGACGGGGTCAAGTGGTTTGTGAGGAGCAGGGGAGGGATGGGTTGTGATACCGGAGACGGCGTGTCACTATGGACGGAGACAACATGTCAGTGTTGTCGGAGTCGGTGTGACACTGTGGCCGGTGGGCGGCAATCATTGTGGCTGGAGTCAGTCATTATGGCGGTCTGCGGACAGTCACTGTGGTCGGTTGACGGACAGTCACTGTGGTCGGAGTCACGTGGCCGGATTCACGTATCCAAAGTCACTTTGTCACAGCAGGGTATAATTGTGAAGTTTATTACATTTTGGAAATATAAAAAAAGAGGTCACATTTTTATCTTTTATCCTCATTTTTGTAATGTTGAGGACAAAAGGCCGATATGGATAATGTGCACATATATGGGTAATCTTCTTTGTCAGATCAGTTCTCATCATATTAAAACATTGGTTTTGTCTTTATCTTTCTCCTATGTCACTTCACTAGGATTCACACTCCTAGGAGATGTCTTAAGTAGTCATGGACTCGGGTCGGGCTGCCCGGCCCGGAACCGGTACTGTTTGGGCCCGGCCCGGCCTGGTACCCGGTTATAGGACCAGTCCGGGCCACCCGAGCTCGGAATTAATCGGGCCGGGCTCGGGCCTCTTAAAAGTGGAACCGGCCCGGCCTATTTTTTTTTTTTTTTTTTGGTTTTTTCAATTTTTTTGGTTTCTCCCGGGTTGGTCTGGGTGTTTTGGGGGGGTTTGGGGGTGGGGGTGAGGGGGGGGGGGGTTAATTAGAAAAGCAAAAGAAATTTAAAAAAAAAAATAACATGAACCGGCCCGGCCCGGAACCGGTGCCTACCCGGGCCGGTTCCGGTTCTTCTTTCCCCCCAAAAAAAGCCCGGCCGGGCCCGGCTTGGAACCGGAACCGGCCCGGGTCCATGTCTAGTCTTAAGTATTACAACTACACAACATATTCTAACACTGATAAAATATCATCACCAGCTTTATTCTCACTTCCACTGCATAAAAACACCATATTGAAGTACTTCAGACAATGGAAGTTGCTAAAATACATCAATAACCAAGGTGTGGGCTCTGTATCTCTGATGCTTGTTACCACAACGTGGCATTGGTCATTGGAAGCTGGTGGAGATGGATCATGGATATAGACTCACAGACTCATCAAATTGACGATGGTGGCAAATGATTGAAGTTATTTTCTACTTTTTTGTCGTAAAATTAATTATTATTGGAATGGCATGTTTAAAGGTTACGTCCATCCATTTACTAAATTTACTTATTTACATATGAAACATAATGGTTCTGTACTTCTGTTTGTGCATACTGCATAGTCTGAGAAGTTATTCTTACGTTTGACCTTATTTTTCGATAAATTTCCAAAAATGAGTACTCGAGAAGTTAAATGGTCATAGTGATTTTATTTTGCCAATTGAGCTGCTAAATAAGGCTTTTCTGCTTTCTATTATGGCATTGTGAAATAAAGACTTCATCTTACATAATTATAGGATATTCAGCAGGGTGCATACAAATTTAAACCTGCGAAGGGTACAACATACGATAAGATACAAGAAATTTTCAGAAGAATGGAGGAAAAAGCATGAAACTTTGAAAAGCGCATAATGTTGGAAGAAAAGTCATTAATCTTCATTAAGATCATCGCCATAGCCAACTGCAGCTGCCTTCAAAAGTGTGATGATAATCCTAAACCCACGCATCTTGTAAAGATTCCCAGTAGATCAGAGTAACCTAACCATCTCGCAATCCATTAAGAAAGAGAGGCTGTTGATTCAGATTTAACATCTGTGTTGATGTATGGACCAAAGAACCCGAAGGAAAGATTGAATGTGCAAAAAACGAGTCTTGGAGCCAACCATTTATCATCTCTGCACAAACAAGAGCAAAAAATAGTTCACTGGTTTTTAGTCCTGTCTAAAAATAGTCTTGGGGACCTGGACGAGCAGATTTCTCACTGGTTTTTAGTACATTCCCCTCCACTTTCACAATCGTTGGTTCTCAACTTTTAGTGGAATTAGTTCACCCTCTTGCTGTTGTCCCCCCCTTGACCTGAAACTCTTGGGGAGCCATCTCCGCACACATTCTGGCAATCTGGATAAACCCAAATATTCATAAACAAGAAATATACTAATGGGTCGTTTGGACTTTGGATGCACTTTTCATAAAAGGTATTTTTACTAAATATAAATACGAGTCAAGGTCAGACTTACAGGTCCAATCTTTCATAAATTGCCCGACGCACTGATGAGTTGAGGCCATATGCTATTGAGTTAAAGAGACCCTATTCACAAGTGCAGAAAGAAAAGAGTATAAAGCCAATACTTGCTAAGTTGCTAAAAGAAAAGACAAGGATTAAAAGCCATGATTATTTATTATTTGTAAAATATAAACGGAAAATGGCACTTTTTGTCCCCAAGTTATACACTTATACCATTGGCATACCATCGGTACACTCCTGGTCCTTGAATAACTGAACTCTCCACCTTCACTCCCCTAGTTTCCGTCAAAATGGCATTTTCACATCCATTATGGTTTCGAGTTTATTATGGAAATGGGCCACATCGGGGGAAATTAGGTGACTGGAAATGGATGGCCAGTATTTTGAGGAATAAAATTGAGCATATGTTACAGTTCAAGGGCTAAAACTATTATTTTCAAATCTAAAATTAAGATGATAGGACTCAGACTGGATATTTTTTTCACAAGTAGGATTTGTTTAGAAGTATAAACTAACCATTAGTGCAGCCATACCAACGTCAAGTACTGAAAGCCAAAATATTTTATGGTCTGGCTCAAGAAAGTCATGTATGCGATTTATTGTGCCAAAAAACCATGAACCTATCAGAATAAGTGGATAGTATCCCCATCGGTTGAGCGCCTATCATAGGAAGTTAAATGTGAAGGCAAAATATAGTTAATAGCCATTCCAAGGAAAAAAATTAAGCAAATTAAATGAAATAAGCAGACACACATAACACTGAGAAACGGAGTATTTTACTACACTCAACAATCCTTCAAAATTGAAGCAATATGTTAACCATGGAAATTCGCAACAACAGGAACTATGAAAATAAATTGCTTGTAATGACGGCTGGTGTAGCACTCCATATGTCGATAAACTATACTTGCAGATTTCATGAAGAGTAGATTTTATGCTCTGTTCAGACAGGAAGAGTAATAGTGAAGAAATAAATAAGGACAAGAGCTGAAAATAAGAGGATAGATAATAAGTAGAATTTATTAAGTTGTTTGGATGGAGAGAAATGGGAAAGAGTTTCATAAGAAATCAAAGTGAGGGTGCATGATAAAGACATAATTATCCTTGTTAATTTCATTATGGAATTGAAGGTAAGAGGATTAGCGAATAACAAAATGTAAGAAAAAGCATGAATAAAAGAGAACGAAAGCTTTTTGTATTTCAGAATGAATATGTAAGAATGAATGTACTTTTCTCACGATAGAGCTAACTATTTATAGGGGTCCTCCAACGGATAAATCCTTAAACCTACTATCAGATGAAAGCTGTTAAGGCTGCCCATTACAGAATATTTGCTAGTTAATGAAACAACTGAAAGACATGTAGACCGTTCTGCTTTTCCAGACAAACTCTTGTCAAGCCTCTCTAAAGTAAAACCGTTCGAAACCTAGATTTTGGTTTGTTCAGCCGCCTGGTTGAACTGATCATTTAATTGAATAACTATATTCATACGGGTTAAGCGCTATAAGTGGACCATTTTGATTATCTAATGGGGCCCATACTTACTTTCCATCATGTTCTCTCACAATTGTCACTTTTAGAAAAGAATTTTATGTCTCCACCCCCATACTGTGTTAAGGTATGTTGAGGGCCTATCTTTGTAATGTAATACAATAGGTTGTGTTATTGTCTTAACATATTCTTTTTTCTTGCATCTGCATGGTCTGAGTTGAAGAAAAACAATCTCCAAGAAAGAGAAACATGGCATATTGGTATCAACCAAACATAGGACTCTTTTTTTCATTGGGAATAATGAAATAGGAAGAGAATAAACAGCGCCTTCATCCAAACAGGCTGTTAAACTCAGCGTACCTTCATATCTGTCCGTGCATCTGACATGCCAGCTGCCATCTGAGCATAAAACGTAAATAGGTATACTGAATATCTCATTTTGGACTTTCATAAACTAAATCAAGAGACACAAGAGTGAAATTGAAACATACACGAGTTGCATTGTTAAGCATCCGAATTACTTGAAAGTATGTGATGCCATTAAATAGGATTGCAGCCCAAAGAGGTGCATAAAAAGTAGCAAAGTGAACTGCCTGCAGTGAGAATAATTTATATTTTTGCACGTTAAATAACCATTCCCATAACTTAATACAATCCACTGCATCTGCTAAGCATAACCATTTATAGTCAGCACAGAAATATACAAAAGCTACCAATAGGACAAAATGAGGAGCCATGGAGAAGGATGGAAGAAGTTCATTGTAAGGCCAAGCCGAATCGTTCTGCTTAAATTTTTCTTTAATGTTGACTTTCCAAATATTTTAGCATCGATATCATGGATCGATTCATGTTAGCCGACCCCAAAATCTTTTGGGATTAAAACTTGGATGTTGTTGTTGACTTTCCAAAAGTAATTTTATCGAGGAATAGGGTTTTAAATACATCAATTTGATAGTATGGACTTGCACCATAGTAGTCATGGCGCATGGCAATCGCCATGGCTCAAAGGCATTTTTCATGGCGCATGGCGATGGCGCATATACAAATGGCGCATAAGGCGCATATGGCGCTATGGCGACGGCCAATTTTTCATGGCGATGGCGCACATGGCGTGCGCCATATCTAGCCATTGACTACTATGACTTGCACATTATATTATGAATAGTGGGGGGGGGGTATCTTGGACTAAATTCATATTATTTCTGTTTGCCTTGTTCAAGAAAGATACGGAGTAATATTTTACATGAGGCAACTAGGAATTTCATTCTTTAATTTTTTATGGAAAATGACTCCTCTATTGAAATAGAAAACATCACATAAATTCTAAATAGAACCACATATTTCCCATGAAACCACTTTCCAAAGAAAGAACGATTTACTTTTCTGCAATCAAACAGAGCCTAATCTAGAGAATGCATTCTGGAAGCACTGACCCTCAGCCAAATTGAATGTTGGTGAAATAAATACACAGACAAACAAGGAAACAAAGAAACAAACAATTGATAAATCAACGAATGAATGAATGAATGAATATATATTAATGAATGAGTAAATAACAAGTAGGTAATAAAATAATTATAGTAGCTAGATTACATAAACTTACCTTTGCTGCACGCCCACTTTGTGCCCAGCACAAGATGCCTAGACGAGTTATATGCCTATGGTCATTGCCAATAGAGCGTATAACTGTCATGACAATTGAAGTTCCTGCAAGTAGTTTAATAAACATATTTAGTTATGAATGAGTGTGATACAAGAACATTGCATGAAAAAAAATATAAAAGCTCAAAATAATAGAAAACAAATGATTTGATGTCTAATCAAACAAAAAACAGTTCCCCACACATATAAACAAATAATTTACTGTCTAAGCAAACAAAAAACCAGTACCCCAAACATATAAATGAAAGACAGGCTCCAAATCTTCAACATCCGTTTTATGCCTAACAACAGTTCGGTGAAGGGTAAAAGCAATTGTGGTAGTCCAAAGAAAAGAAGCTACACAGAAGAAATGTGTTGTATAACCCTGAACATAACAAAAGAATCCTTTGGAAGGATCCCTGAGAAGAAACCAAACATCAATTCAGCAACCCACATCCACAACTGATAAGAGAAGACTGAATGCAACCTATAGTGGTACACACACAAAACGTTCTTACCCAATTATGCTGAAGAAACTGCAGCACATATCCTACAACAAAAGTTGATGTGATGAATTTATTGTTCATTTCCCAAAAGAAACACAGCTAATCATCATCTTATGAATAAAGAAAACACTCAAAATAACGAACATACAACTAAACCACAGTAGATATGAAGAAATAAACTAATTGCATTTATTATTACGATTCTCCTGCGATTCAATGGCTCACACCAACCAAACATGCAAAATTAGTATGGTACATGTTTCAAGAATTTATAATTTCTTTTTTATTTTTTACAAAAAAAGGAGCCCATTCAATTATTCAATAATAAACCATCCTAGTATTCAATAATAACCCATCACACCTATGGCAAGCTGGTGGTTCAAAGCTAAGTTGGTATTGAAAGACCAAGACTTGCTGACTTAAACCTATATGTGCAGATAGTTGCTAACAAACTTTCCAGTTTTCAATTTACAGAGATATTCCAATTTTGTTTTATTTTTCCGCTTTCCGTTTAAGATGTATGAGCAGAGTAAGCAGTGCAAAACCCTAGAAACTTGAACACTACTATTGATGACAATGAATAAATAAAGTTGGCATTTTGAAGGAGAAAAGTAAAGAAATTGAAAGAGTACGGATAGGGCGAGGAAGAAGACGAGCTTGAAGGAGAACTTTCGGAGCTCCTTGAAGAGCAAATAGCACAACGCTATGAATCCGGACCCCACCAAAGACAGGCTCGAACCGCCGGTATTCACCGCCGTTAACACTTGCCGCTCCATCGTTGTAAGGTTGCCCATCACCGCCTGCATAGTTGCCATGCCTTTCCTTCTCCGTTTGTGTCAGAGATATCTCGGATTATAGATGCCCAAAAAACATGCACCATAGAGATTTTGCTCTGCTCCGGACTTCTCTGTAAAGCTATAAGAAGCAATGCATACGCTTCCAATAGATAGTAGTCGTAGTACATCAAATATAAATAAATTAAGCGTTTCGTAAGTCGCTTTGGCCGAGTGGTTAAGGCGTGTGCCTGCTAAGTACATGGGGTTTCCCCGCGAGAGTTCGAATCTCTCAGGCGACGTTTAATATTTTATACTCCGCTACCTTTTAAGAGTTTAAGTAAATCATTCATAATAATCTCATTTTTTAATAACTACTCAATTTTTTGAGTTGAAACTATCTGAAACTTATCTAGGGAGAGGGTTATCGGCCGATAACCCTACATCTTGGTTTGTCCGCGGTGGTCTCGGATTGGTAGTAGAGGCGGCGGTCTTGGTTATTTAACCAGGCTGTTCGGACGGTAGTAGGCAGGGCTTTTGGTCCATCGATCTCAGACTCCGGTAGAGGCTTTCATACCTCCATGAAAAACGTTGTTGATCGATACAAGCGGATGGAGATCGAAGACGACGAGAATGAGATAAACCTGGAGGATGGGGAGGCTGAGGACGTACCGGTGGAGGAAGTGGCGGTGGGCTTTCCGGTGCTTGGGCAAGTCTTGACTGATCGCAAGGTTAGGTTCGCGGAATTTAAGGAGAAGATGGTTACTCTCTGGAGGCCAGGAAAAGGTATGTCAATTAAGGAAATTGGAGATGGGAGGTATCTGTTTTCTTTTCGCTTCGATATGAAACGTGTTCTGGATGGGGGTCTCTGGCAGTATTAACGTAGTTTGATCTTGCTTAAAGAAATTTTGCCTGATGATATACCACACAAAATCATTATGAATGAGGCTGAATTTTGGGTCCAGATTCATAATGTTCCCTATATTTTGGTCAACCTAGGCACTGCTAGACGTGTTGGGAATTTTTTTAGGAGAGTTTGTCAAATATGATGATTATCAGAAAAAAAGAAAAAATTGAGCCATACATGCGAGTTCGGGTTCTTATGAAGATGGATAAATCTCTAAAGAAAGGGACAACCTTGAAAAAAGAGGGCAAAAGTTTTTGGGTGGACTTTAAATATGAAAGACTGCCCACCTTTTGCTTTATCTGTGGGATGGTAGGTCACTCAGATAATTTCTGTCCTCTGAATTGTGAAGAAAGTTTGGTTTTGGAAAAAAGATTTGGATCTCATCTTAGAGCAGGGAGCGGGGTGAAGACCAGCCCAACAGGAGAGCAAGCTGGATTCCTGGAGGGCTCATCGAGCTCTGGCAAATCGGGAGCCGACCCAGTAAAGGAGGCAATGACTGAATCTGCTCAAAGTTTCACGCGAGGAGGCGAGGTGCCTAAGGAAGAGGAATCCAAAAGAAGGAAGATATGGGAGGTCCAGACAGAGGAAGATCCAGAAGAAGACAATATGGCCACTGATGGGACAAAAAACGGGGAGGAGGCGGGCTTAGCTCCTTAAGCCCGCCGGATGCACTGGTTGAAGGTGTGAGGCTGAATGCTGGTGGCTTGGTTCTCGTTGTCTGGCAGCATAAAGGATGCTTTTTATTCTGCTTTGTTTTCTGTTTAGTTAAATTTAGAGTTTGTTGTTGGTTTTGTTTTTGGTTTAATGTTCTGTTTTGTAAGACATTGGTTTTGAATGTGGGAGATGAGAGGAACTTGGTAACCGAGTTAGGCTTATTGTTTCCCGGTTATGGATCAGCGAATTATATTGCTACGGCGATTAATTCCGAGTCTGGTTCGAGGGATGGCGGTTATCAATTTTCGTTTTATCAGTTGACCCATATTCTGAACTTTTATTGTTTATTTATATAAGCTGATTTCCTTCAAAAAAATAACTGCGCAATTTTTACAAAAATCAAACCTTAATATATTCTCTCTCTGGACGAAAGCTTCTCTCTATAGGCGGTCGTCTTCCCTAGAGTCAGGGGTTGTTTTTCTCCGATTTCGTCTCCGACGAAATGCGACTTTCTTGTGTTTTTCGTCCGCCTTTCGTCCGCCTTTCATCAGGCTCTCTTTTTCGGCAGACCGCAGTGCCTATATGGAGGCCAAAGGTTGGGTACCCGTAGCATCAGGTGGAGAGTTTCAAGGATGTCGTTCATGGTTGAGATCAGAAGGACATGGAAGAAGCGTGTGGCTAGGGGCTGGAACAGATCTGGATCAGAAGCAATGAGAGGAAGATGAGACAATATTGTTGGACCGTCTCCCTTCTGAACCGCCACCATGGAGTGAAGGAGCATTTAGGGTTTGGAAGCAGTATTCTAATTTTACTATTTACTTGCTAATTATTTTTCATGATCAGATTGTTTATTTTTCTGTTGGTTACTTTTATTGTTGTAAGACTCTTGCATTAGGATTGGGTGATGGGAGGTCTGCTTTAACCGTCGTTGGCTCATTTATGCCCGTTATAGGATTAGAGAGTTATATTGCTTTTTTGGAGGTGATTAACTCTAAGTCCGGTTAGAGGGTTAGCGGTTGTCTGTGATCCTTTTGTCATTTTACCCCCTATCTGAATGTTGTGATTTGAATTTAAGCCATCCATTTTGACGATAAAAAATTACTGCGTAATTGTTTTTTCTAGCTGGCAAGCAAACCACCTTCTTCGCCGCCAGACTCTTCTTGCGGTGTGTCACGCCGCAGCATAATTAATTAGTTAGAGTAGTAATTTGATAAATGTGAACGCACACCACAGTGGCCGTCTCCCTCTAGTTAGGGTTTTAGTTCTTCCGCTGATCTAATTGGTCGAGCGGCTTTTCGATTTGGTGTTTTTCTCTGTGACGAGTTTCTTGTTGTGAACAAGAAGCAAGGACATCAATAGCGAGGGGATGGCATCATCAAGTGAAGGTCATGGGCGAAACTTGGGATTAAAAGCTGGAACAAATCTGGTTTCAAGGTCATCTGTGATTGATGGCGAAAGTGGAGGCTTGACAGAAAACATGATGAATGAGAGTCGTGGTGAAGAAAAAGCTACAACACTACTGCCTCGTCTCCCTCCTGAACCGCCGTCATGGAGTGCTGGAAAATCTAGGGTTAGGAAGAAACCGAGTGATCTCTATTTTAATTTCGTTTTATGTTTTTTTTTTCGAACTGCACGTTGTCGTTGTTTTCTATTGTTGTAAGACTCTTGCATTAGGATTGGGTGATGAGAGGTCTGCTTTAACCGTCTTTGGTTCATTGCTCATTACAGGATCAACAAGTCGTACTGCTTCTTTGAAGGTGATTGACTCTAAGTTTGGTTCGAGGGATGACGGTTGGTTGTAGACCTTTTGTTTGTTTACTCCCTATCTGAATGATGTGATATCAATTTAAGTCACCCTCTTCCGAAAAAAACTGCGTCATTTTTTCATGTGAGTGAGACAGTAGTATTAAATTCTTCTATGTTTAAATTATCAAAGTATCAACTTTTTATAATGTTAACTATTACATATTCTGTAATAAAATATATTAATAGTTAAAGTTGTGTGTCAACAAACGTGAAAATCAAATTGATGTAATTAGAAAAAGGTGAGAGTACTATATAAATGTTCGCAAAATGCTAATGTTGTTATCTCTTCTTCTTACACACTTAAGTATGATTCCAATGATACTTTCATAAGAATGTACTTTCTAAATGTTTTTAGAAAAAATTGACAAGAATAATCTCAACTTTCACTGGTCTTCTCATAATAATCCCACATTTATGTAATCCAAAAATAATCCTACCTTTGCACCTCATCTTCTTTCATTGGACCATCACCTATTGATGAGCTGCAAAGGCGAGATTATTTATATAAGATTTTCAAATAAAGGGTCCAATGAAAGGAGATGAGGTGCAAATGTGAGATTATTTTGGGATTACGTAAAGGTGTGATTATTATGAGAAGATCAGTAAAAGGTTAGATTGTTCTTATCAATTTTTCCATGTTTTTATGTTTGAGGAAAATCTTTGTAGAAACGTTGCCAGAGAGTAACTTCCAAAGTGATTTTTAAGAATTGACTTCCAAAGTGATCTTTAGTGTTAAATATGATTGATTCACTCTTTCTTATTTTCTTCTGACGTTGTATTGTTCGTTTTTAGTCTGTATTTTGATGTTTTCCTATGATTTCATTGTGTTTCTTTTCTATCAATCATCTAAATTGCAATCAATAAACTGCAACTTGGTTTCCATCTTCGTTTTTTCTTTCCTTCATTTTAATTTGCTGCTCTTTTTTTTATTCCGATCCATTTAGTCTAACTTATTTCTTTTTTCAAATTACAACTGCTGTTTTTTGTTTCCTTTATTATTTTTATATTAATTACTTTTTTACCATTATTTCTTTAAATCATTTTAGCTATATACTTTATAATATTGACCTTACGGCAGCAAGGTGATAAGAGATGTGGTTGTCACTCAGGGCCGGTCCTGGGGCATGGGCAGGAGGGGCATACGCCCAGGGCCCTTTGCTCCAGTAAGGCCCATAAATTTCTCAAATATATATATGTGTGTGTGCACAGATATTTTAATTATATGTACATTCTAAATCTATAAAAGGTAAAAAAATCAAACTTATATTTTTTTAGATACTTCTAATTAGTTATTCAGCATCTACACGTACGATACAAGTCTGTAATTTCGAAACATCCACATTAGAATTCATTGGGAACATATTTCACCATTTCTTTTAAATCATTACGGATTATTACATTAATTTTAATCTTTTATTGTACATGTCTTATGTATATCCAGAATTTATTGATATATTTCACAAATTTCCTCCGATTTTCTCATTTAATGAAAGATTGACTTTAGTGGCCATAATTTAGAAACGTAGAATATGCAAGATTATGGCCATATAATCTTGCACAAATGCATATATTAGTTTTGAAATTTAAATTATGGCCACAAATTTCCTCCGATTTCTCATTTGTGTAATTTGAATTTAGAAATGTATTAGTGGCCATATAAAATATGCAAGTTAACTGGTCCAGAAAATACATATTCCGGACCAGTTAACTTGCAAAAATCATTTGATGACCTTTCCGATTGAAGTTTTGGCTGAAATTTGGTATGG